AAATCATTTTTGATTGATTTAATTAAGGCTACCCGATGACAAGGCCCAATTAATTAATGAATCAGATTTATATAGTTAATTAAATTTTAAACGGAATTCAACAATACCTGAACGATCGCACTATGGTGTTCATCCGGAGATCTATTAACTGTATCGTGTCGTCTCTAACGCATGCTAGTAAATAATTACTATCTGAAACAAAGGAATATTATATTAAAAAAGTAACATTTAAAAGACACAAAGGAGCAGATTATCTTAGTAATATAATGAATGCGATAGTAGATGGATTGTTAGAGTTTGTAGCCTAAACTGCTAAACTAATCTCAATGAAATTTGGCATAGATGTAGAGGATAGTCTGAAAGAACACATAAGCTAATTTTTTTTTTAATTCCACATGGACGGAGTCGCGAGCAAAACCTAGCTATTTATATTATTACAAATAAGTGTGCAACATATAAACAGCAAGGCATCAAGGCAGTAGCCGTTGATGTCTGATTACAGAAAACGTGCACAAAGTTAATAGTTAGCTAGTAGCTGAGAAAAGTGACTCGTCCGAGAATCTCATAGAATGAAGATGTCAGATAGAGTTATTTACGTTGGTGTTTTAATCATATTTCATCTCCTTTTAACCTTTAGTATAATTGCAATTCCTGATGGGTATCGGTGGTCGGATGAACATATCGAAAAATAACAAAATCTGCATCATCTTATTCTATTACTTTAACAGTAAGAAGTAAGTAAAATAAGCATGGTCTGACATTAATGTACTAATGAAGTATTCAGTGTGTCAGCAAAAACAATGTAGGGTTGTCCTAAACAACTTTTCCTGAGAGTTTAAGTCCAATTTAGTAATGGCAGGTGGCAAACCCATTGCCGTATAAGCCCATGATTTTCAACTACTATATTTAACTAGTTAGACCATTCAATTTCAGACCTATTTCAGGTCAGGCAATATGCGAAATTTTCAACTTGGACAAATCAACAACATTTAGAAATTAACTGGAACTGAAAATATCACACATTTTATAGCTATAAAAACCAGCCGCCGGTTTCATAATTTACTAGATTAATCTTTCTAATAAAGATGTCCGTTGTTTTATGAAAAAAGATATAATTTTGCATATAAGACTTATCGGTTATTTGAAACCAGACCGTCATAACGTAAATTTATACGCTGAATAATGGTCACTTAAAATTATTAACGATTAAGATGGATAAAAGATTGCAAAATTATACGGAACCGAATCTGGTGATTTGTCTCGGCGGTACGTTACTGACCCGGCCCCCGTCTTATTATTACATTGCCTAGTTCCCAATGCTCGTAGAAAGATTTAACCTTTGACGATATAAGGTAAAATGCTTTTGCCATTACCATGATCGTACAATATAATGGTATTTTATTAAATTATGTGGGTATTGAGAACACGGAGGCATCATGGTCTCGTTAGAGGTCGGCCATTCGTACTGTATCCGAGGCGGGGTTAGACAATAACCTGAAGATATGTTCCCACCATTATCTGTCGAGATTTAAATATGTCGGCGGGCGAGCAACTAGCGAAGAGATAGGATTTCACGCTGGGCAGAGGCAATCGCGATCCGTCCGATTACTAAAGAATCCTCGTAATGGATAGTATTGATGGGTTCGGATCGAGCGTGACGTGTAACTGTGAACGGGCTCCCTATTCATTCGTCGGCGGGCCCGGCGCTCGGTGGCGACAAAATCGACGTGATTCAATCAGTTCGTCGAGGTAGCGAGTCCCGACGCTGCGATCGATTGAAGGTATCAATCTGGCCGTTTCGTGCGCCGGACCGTTACTGACAAAAAAGGGATTGATCGAGACACGCGTAACGGAAATGGGCATCGTACACCCGTCACCTTGTTGTGCTGGCACGAATACCGATACTAATAGATATGCTGTGCATTCAATTTTCTTTGAATATTAGTTTTGGGAACAACGGAAATTAACAAGCTCGAAGCCACTTTCAAGAATTTCAATACGCTTGTTTCGCAAACAACATGGGAGTGGTAATGAAAACTATTACAAATAAATAATGGTCTGTTTTGTTGTTGGTAACAGTTAGTTACATGCCTTTGTAGTTTCTTATTTCGTAGATCAGTACTACGGCTAAATATACCAACATGACTTTAGGGTTTTAAAACAAGAAATTTATGAATGTTGATATAGAATGCTTTGTAAGGAAAACAGTATTAAACTATAGTATGATCTGTATGATGTCAGCAAGTGTGCAGTATGGATACAGGGGTAATGAATTTAACTTGAAAATGCTATGAGATAAATTTCTTACCTCTACTGAGATCCAAAGATGTGACTTTCCCTTGTAGTACGATATGATTGGCTGACATCTCTGTGCGTATGTCCCAAAATCTTATCCGTTTGTCGAAATGTCCCGATATGATGGTGGAGCCCGCACCGTCTGACGTCACGAGATCGTTGCATGACGACCCCGCGAATTTTGTTTCTGTACCTAGAGTATATTTGTTATTAATGTTAGAAAAATATGGTAATAAGTTAGAAATACCTCATTAGCAGGCGGCTAGAATCTTCATAGACTTGCGTACATTTAAGCTACATTAGTAAACCCTGTTTTAATCGCAGCGAGTAACTTGACAAATGCAAATGTCAAATTTTAAAATAATGTTGTCAGCATTTTCTGTGCAGTGTTGTACTTGTGATACCAGTTTTGTAAATCGTAACATTCAATGTTTAAAATGACCAAAAAAACTCAATTTTTAAGATTTAGTGAACACCTATGACTAGTTTCATCATTTATAATTAGCTACTAATAATAAAATATATTCTGCAATTGTAGTTGGTCATATGTAACTTTTTTCGAACATTATATTTTAAAGAATTTTTACAACATTTCACAATAACTAATTAAGTAGACGAGAACAGAAATAATTTCATTCACGCTTTTCCGGTAGTCTCACATCTAGGCTCATAACTATCTGAGAAGTCTAAAAGGCCGGCAACACTTGAAATGTCATTTTTCTCGCTGGGATTGAAAACAGACGGTAATAATATAATCACTGTATTAGATTGATTTTAACTTTGTACACAAAAAAACAATATTTAACAAAGTTAGTCGTAGTCGTCGTCTTTAGTTGTCTTTATTGCACACTAAATGGTAATATTGCTAAAATCCTTAGGAAATCTTTATTTAAAAAGTCAAGGATTCTTTAACATAACTTGAAATTGAAGTCTTGAAATGAATAATCAATTGAACGTCTGCATGATACGACATCCATCATATATTTAATTCTCACAGTACAGGGAGATTACTAAGGGTACGTCTTCATAAATTCGATCGCAAACTATCAAAAAATCTACGTAAAATGTTATTATATTAGCTTCTTTAAGTTAAAAGCGTGATATGTTTCGATATTATAAAAATAATTATGTTTAAACGAGCTTTTTTTAATTCCACCACATGCTTAGAACGTTCTATAAAATGATAAGGAAGCAACTTCGTATACGCGATCGTATCTCTATAATTTTATTTTATGCATACAATTTTAGTAGTTATTTTAATTCTTACGGGGAAAGATATAATCACATGGTTAATTGGTTAGAGATATATTTCTGAAACGATCTATTCTTTTATTAGTTTAATATCGCTGTATTTACCAGCAGTTAGACTAGGACTAGCGCATTTTACAACTAAAAATTACTTGTATAGTAATAACTACGGATGATTCGCAGAATCAAGCTAAACATTCATTATGAGCTATTTCTTCAACTATGACAATAAAACAACCGTGTAATTCCTCATGCATTAGTTAGAGACGTAATATGTTGTACTTACACATTCTACTTCTGAGATCCCAAATTTTTAACGTTCGATCATGGCTGCCGGTAATTACTTTGGTGGGTTCTTCTAGAAACTTAGCTGCCATCACTTTGCCGCTATGACCAGTTAGTGTGTGCTGAAACAATAACATTCCTTTAGTTTTAAAAGACACAATCCGTTATTATTTTTAGATAAATATTTTGGAAACAGCCTAAGTTCGGTAAATTGTTCATCAACCTAAAAATGTACTTTTATTTAATGATTAATAAGAAAAAATTACAACAAGGTATCTGGGACATGAACGTTAAAAATAATTTATTTGATATTTGGGACACCAAATAAATAAGTCCGTATAAGTTTCTCACGATGCCAATTATATTTATTAAAAAATATGTATTGTAAGGAATCATGAACGATTAAGTATCTGAGAGTACCTATATTATTTTTAGCTCAGACAAAATGTTAATGAAGTTGACGGTGTGAATCATTTTTAATACGAAATTAAATTATCGCTGAATTAAAAAAAAAACTATATTTCCATTGAAGTCTTTGTGTAGAAAAAAAATATGATATTGCGTAGCGGTGAAAAATTACTAGAGTAAGGCACTGATGTATATCTTGTTGATGATAAAGGAAGCTTGTTAACACGGGACAAAAAATGTTCAAAAACTCAGGAAGCAAGACATTTAATTATCTATGGGATGTCAATGATTGTGGGAAATAAATAAAAAATAGTAGCGCATCGAAATTTGTCCATTAAACGAGAGAAATTCGTCTCAGATTGGGGTTAAAAAGAGAAGTTTAGTAATACAATGGTACGTGAACTACCGGCAGTCAACATTGATAGCCATTTACACTGGGCTCGCGGCTCCCGACTTCCACGATGAACGATTATTGTGGCAGGTACACGGCATCGTGATCTCCTCACTCAACGGTAAGCCACGGACGCCTCACGAATTGTCTCATTACGTGCCGCGTATTTGCATTCAAAGAGTCTATTAATTTAATCAGCGGACATGTCGTGTTGGACACTAAGCCGGCGTCGAGACTTAATGCACGCGGCCTTTGGTTGTTACGGTGACAGAAATTACACAAGGGCATTTCCCTCGACACGTGAAACTTGACTCATATAATAAATTCATCTGAATGAGGCAGGATTTCCGTCAACGGTACATGGGACGTGATAAGCTCATACAGGTACACAAGGTTGTTAATCAGATTTCCTCTTTTTTGCAAATATTTAATATCGATTTATTACCAAAAACGAAAATTAGCGTCTGCTGATTTGAATGCATATTTATGACGGCGTCAGTAACAAATTACCACCGATTAAGGTTAATAGTTAATAATAAAAGTTACACTTAATGTGCTCGATATTTTCAAGTGATAAAATAACCAATAAATTAAAAGAAGACTTGGTAATCATTTGGCTTAAGGAATAAAAATATTTTTATTACGATTTAACGTGTAAAGAGCAATTTGTAGTTCTTGGTTAAAACCGACTATGAATATAAGTTCCAACGTTTCAAAGTTGAGGAACAAGCTCGAGTTTGCAGAAATAATTAAACTTTACGTGTATTGTACAGTACAGTAAGATACATTGAATGTTTACCAGGTAAACATGACGCGTGCCGTGAGATGCCGAACACAGTGGAATGTCCCCTTAGCTCGGGTGGCAACTCGACGTCTGACCTTCTCTCGACGTTCTTAATTACCAGCAAAATGCTCCGTTATCAGGTCTGGCCAACGACTCTCATTCCATTTGCGTACAATGAACAGTAACATAAACAAAGGCTAGGGAGACGACAGACGCGCGTGCAAATACCGCTCCGCACTTGCCCGAGCTCGTATGCTACATAAATTACATGCCCGCTCACTGCACAATTTTTATCGACTACTGGTCTAGCTAAAATGGCATTTGTTACATAAAAAGAGACTTTCTAGCCCTGTTCGTTTCATGAACATTTCATGGTATAGTAATACTTACAACACCAAAAACAATAATTTAATTTCCATATAAATATCATTGTGAAGTTTCATCAACATTGCAGTACAATATGTTATAAATATTTTAAATGTAACAGCTCGAACCATCAGAATAAAATTTTATTGAGAAAAAGCTCTCACAAATCGGAAATTACAAGAACTTTGTTATTAATGGCTATGATAAAGTAATATATTGAAATAAAATCTTTCACCTGAAATGCTTCGGTATAATCACGATATAACATGGGAATTATTTAAGTAATTCCGCGAGGCGCCACTAGGAAGTGCGCAGTGTTTCAGTGAGTGCCCAACGGGACCTTATCATCGCTTTTAAAATTTATAGTATGGCGGCTAATTAAGAGTACACTCGTTTAGTTCGAACCCTGCGTCACGAATGTGGGGCGTATATGCACTGTTTAGGGTTATTGCGGCTATAGAACGTCCGCACTAATTGAGGGGGGTAGGGCGATATCATCCGGACAAGGGCCACCACTCTAACGAGCTAATATAAACCGCCATCGCATCTCTACCGGGTTTAGATTACAAATGAATGGACCCGGCGACACAATGAGACCATATAAAAACGTTATGTGTGCGCTCCGAGCACGGACCGTCTCGTTCACTAATTTGACTTTAATGCTGATTTTAGGACGACAAGCGTCGTACGTTGCCGCGGGCGTATTTATTACTGTTACAATACCATCATTATCCTCGGCTGCTTTTGTTGCGATCTTGTATTTGATAGCAGTTTGTGCGTTTTGTTTTGTAATAACCTCATTGAGAATGTTTACCTTCGAGCATTAATCACTACCAACATCTAAGGTGTGTTCACGTCCACTTTCTGTTAAAAACTCATATATCGTTTAAACACATTACACCTCTAATATTTAACCTAATGGCCTTTGAACATTTTCAGTTATTACAAAAACTCTCAATATGAATATTTGAATTCTCAATATGAATATTCATATTGAGCACCACAGTTTAATTAATCAAAAATTAAAATTTCCAAGGAGCAAGAATAATATTAGTTACTTTAATAAATCACAAAGGACAATTAATTACAGCATTTATCACTTTTAATATAAATATTTAAAATGCCTTACGATAAATTGTTGAAAAGAGCAGAGCCCCTTCCACAATAGTATTCGTATCGCTTATCTATGCGCTATGAATTTGAATATCTGGAAATACTGTTAGAATATATAAATAAAGTTAGTGTTTCACGCAAAACAGTACACTCCTAATAAATCTAGTGGATTTCCATTGCATTCTCTCATTAACGATTCAAGTAGCGGCACGTTGGTCATAAATACGTTATTTATCAATTATACACACAACTTAAGTACCTTCTTCAACATATATTTATTACTTTAAAACAAGGAACATAGATCAGAAACGTTTAGTGTTAATAAGCTCTTTTTGTGTTTCCTAGGTTATAACGCATACTCAATCATGTTTAATTATAGCCTAACCAAGAATATATAATTTCGGACTGGATGTACTTCAACCAGCTTCTTTATTACATGGCTTTCCAACGGCGCTTAGAAATTAGTTCCATATTTCCGTAATGTTGTGGGTTTCATATTTCTGGTCGGGCCATATAAACATTCGTTTATGATTTCCGGTACAGAAAATACAAATTTCATTGTCACTTTTTCGTTATTTGTGCACCATACCACCTGACTAAAGACGTTTTTGTAAAAGCTTTTAATTCATACTAATAATTAATGATAATTGTTTTAAGTACCACTCATTTAGCTTTGTTGCTTGTTAAAAAAGGTATGCATTGAATAATAGCTCAACACATAAGACATTAATAAAAAAGAACGGATTTTTTTTTATTTAAAACAAGTCCCAAGTAGCAAAGATTAATAATATAAAAGTAACGCAGTTACTTTACCTGACAATTTGAATTGCGAATATAATTTGTAAAACAAACGTGATCAAATTCGTCAAGTGAATTACAAATGGCAGGCTTGTATTCCACGGACACTGTTATTTTTAACAAAATTAATCGATCGCATATTAAGTAGACGGTGTGTTGAAAACATATTTTATTAATTTCCATGATAAATACGTTTCCATCATTTTCGAATACTTGATAAAAATTAGGGTCGTTGTACTGCGTGCGAATTTTCTCAAAAATTACTGCGGAATTAAGTCATTACATACAATGCATAGGTCATTTTAATGTCATTCTTTGGTTAATTACACGGTAAAGTTACGTTGGAACTTACATAGTAATCTTATATTGTTATTCGGAGTTACAACAGTTTACAAATAAGTAAGTTCATTCAAAAAAATGTTTAGAAAGTATTTAAATATTTATTGCATAATTTTAGAAACGTTTGAAAATTTATAGAAAAAATAAGATTATAGTAATAATTGGATTCTTAAAGATACTATAAATTGACTAAATAATTACTAGCAAAAAAGATCAGGCAAGTTGATGAAGAAATAATTGACGGAAATATTTTGCGTGTATTTAAAAAACCTGAACAGTGCATTTTTAAGCAAAACGACTCGTATTCGCCCACCCGTCAGTCCCAGGAGCCTACTTTCAGAATGGCATTTCAATTGGGCTTGATTTAATTGCTTAACAGTTAATGATAATCTTGTTGACACACATATTATGGATCAGTAGAAAGGAGCTGTTAATCTTTCCAATGAAGAGCCGAAGTTAAAATAAAAATAAACGTTAAAGACCTACTTCAATGCAGTACCGTTGCAAAATAAAAATGCAATTGTAATTGAATCCATTAGTAAGTTATCTATTTATTGGTATGGCGAAAGTTTACGATGAAAACATCGATTATGAACAATTTGATTTTATTGTAATGATCACTTGTATTTAAAACAAACTTTATTACTTACATTATCTGATTATTGAACATGGTCTAGTATTACTTTATTAAGTACAGTAAATTTGGTACCAGATTGGTGGATATCTGATATGTGTATTCTTAAGTGGAAACTCAAGTAACACATACTGGAACCGTGAACTTCTTACAACTCAGTTTTATGAAAATTTTAAATGTTCCCTTATTCTAATTAATTTGATTCGGGTATAAATCAATTTAATTGTATTGTATGTCCAAAGATGTTATTATTTAGTTGCTATAAAACTGATTGCGATTTGATGTTCTT